TAGCAACACAGCTACATTAGCATAACAAACATAGTGAAGCTGGAGGATGAAGCCAACTTTTTTCCACTCGATAAAAGTTAATGTGAGGGTTAGGAACAAATGCAATCGCATGGCAGGATGCTGTAAATGGACCAAACTTCAGTCAGGAGAACAACTGAGATAATCCATCCACAATACGAGGTTAGTCATTAATATACTGCAACAACATGGGAACAGAGCAGCTGCGAGAGAATTCAATATTAATGAATCAATGGTACAGAAGTGGAGGAAGCGCAGTTTTTGGCTTTCCTCATATTCTAAAAAATGTTTCGTCTCTTCGCTAATATTGTCGCCCGGCATAATTTGCAGATGATATTGTTTGTAGCCGCTGCGATGCTTTCGACCAAAACAGGTGCAGCATGATGACACCACCAACATGCGCTATCGTGATAGAGCGGTATAGTCAAAATCTCTACCGTTGGCCAAATTTATATCGTTTCTACCATATACCGTTTATACCGCCCACCCCTACGGCTGAGCTGTGATCTTTGGCTGCATTTATATTTCTCTAAGAGAAAGAAGCAGCAGACGGTCTCTTGCATTTTATCACACTGAAGCCATGCTGCTTCTTTAAAAAAATGCACAGACACAACATCGGGCTGGTTTCTGGAACATAACAATGAGTTTAGTTGACTCAGATGGCCTCAACAGTCACCAGATCTCAGTCAAACAGACCATTTCAAAAGATGCTGCGCACAAATCTGCACCAGCTGCATGATTCTGTGACGTCAACACGGAGCTAAATCTTTGAGAAATGTTTCAAGCATCTGTTTAAAATTCTGCCTCTGAGAATTTCATTCAACTGCAAAAGATTTGCCTTTCTCACCAAGTTTCTCCAGCTCCACCCTCTCAGCACAAACAAAAGGAACAGTTTAAAAAAAAAAAGATTGATATTGTTAAAAAGCAAGACAGGAACTCTGGGGCAAAGTCTGGAGTTGTTCCTAATTAAGTGGCATCATTAAGAGGTTCCTGTCCATCAACATATTTGTGTGTGACCCGGTCGAAACCGAGGCACAGTGATGAAGATCAAACATTTAAACCTTGACAACAACTTCAGCTTGAATCCACAAATCCATGTTTATAATGAGCTGCACGAAAATATCTCCAGTCTTCATCCTGCTGTGAAAGACAGGAAGCACGACACATGCTAGCTCAATCAATCGATCAATTTCTCATCAGATATGGTTCCCAAGTGTTTCTAAAAACAGACGAGCACAGAGGAAAACATTGAGAAAAGGTTTACTGAGGATACAGGTGTTCCTATTGAGAAGCCTCATCAGCTCCTGAAGGCTAGAAAGGAATATACCTCTGACGTACGTCACGTCTTTTACTAAAGTGCATATAAAAAGGCTGCTGAGACTTTTCAGAGTCCTTTTCAGAGGCTAAAAATCCCTGAACCAGCTCTATAAGCCATTTTCACACATGCACTGTAGCCCTGAAGTCTTCTAGACATCATCTGATGGAGGTGAAAATGAGAACAAAAAGGCCTGATGCAGTTGGATTGGACATTAAAGACTCTTTTACCTGCCAGGTCCCCATTGCACCAATGTAACAGCAGCAGCAGGTAATAGTCCGCTGCACTGAACGAGCATCATGTCTGCTTCCTTATGTGTGATTTACACAGGCAGCTTCCTCGTTTAAACCATACACAGCATTTCCATCCGAATCAGAATAGTTCCCCCTGTTTTCTACATATTAAAAAAGATCAAATGTCGAACATTGTTCTAGAATAACACTCTGGACACGGCCATGTGACGTCATGTGTGCAAAAGACTTCAGAAACAGGCATTAATTAAACATGTGAGGCTGAGAGAATGCTTCAAGAGACACTTGAAAACCTCGGCTCTCAAACAAACAGGACAGAGATGGTCGCCAGTGTCCCCGAACGGTAGTGGAGGGTGGTGTGGGGGTGGG